CCGACTTCAATCATCCTCCCTCAGAATACCCCTTTCCTCAAAATCACCCCACTTGCCCTTGTACTCAACTTCTTATACTCCATTTATCATCTCCCTAAGGCGATTGGGAAAGATGACAGTTTACAGAGGGATTTAGAAAGGGTATGAAGTTGTTTCCCCTTCTTGGAGAGTCTAGGACCAGAGCGTGTTATCTCGGAGTAAGGGGTGGCATATTTAAAACTGAGGAGAGGAATTTCTTCTGAGAGAATAGAGAATCTGTGGAATTTTTTACCGAGGAGGATTGTAGTCATTAAGTATATTCAAAGCTGAGGTACACATTTTTTAAAATCAAAAACTGAAATTGCTGGAGAAACTCGGCAACATCCGTGGAGAGAGAGAGAGACCGTTTTGAGTCTACGGACCCTTCACAGCTGATCTGAATTTCTGTTTTTGTTTCAGATCTTCAACACCTTTATTTTGTTTTAGATTACTTAATCAATAAGAGAATCAAAGGCTATGGGATAAGGCAGGAAATTGGTGTTGAGGGTTATTGGATCAGACATCATCAGATTTCCTGTTATCCTGCACTTTTTAGTTCTTTAATTTTCTACTTTTTCTCTAAGAATTTGTATTCAATCTGTGCTTAGGTACCTTTGTACCAAAGATGATGCTGTTAAGTGGCAACATGTAAACTTTTCACTGTATTCTTCTGAGTATGTGACAATGAAGCTGATTTGAATTGAATTGAATTGGAACAAGCCTGATGGGCTGAGTAGCCTGTTTTTAACTCCTATATCTTACGATCATGATTATTTTCCACATTATGTATTTTTCTTACAAATTGCACCCTCAATCACACTGATATCCCTCCCTTGTGATGTTTCCCCCACCTTGACCCCTAACCTCCAGCAACATCCTCCTTGCCCCCTCAACCTCCTCAAACGTTCTGTGTCCTACCAATCTTGCATACCCCTCGCACTATTTACAATCACCTCTCATGTTCCAAGCCCTCTGCTCGTCATTCGTTTTAATACATTTTTTCAAATATTCGTGGTTGCCAAAGCTTCACAGTGTTGCTGTGTTGGTCTTGTGCATTTCCATCAGATCAATCTGTCCAGCGTTTTGTGTTTACATTCCAGTAGATGGTCAGCAAGTCAGACAGTATCTATGAAGAGTGAAACAGAAGAGTAGTGTTTATGGTCTGTGACCCTTTGTCACTGCTGCAGTGTTACAGACTGCAGTGTGTAGAATTACCATTGCCCTGTCTCCTTGTTTTTCTTAAATATTTAACTTTGAATTTAAGGGTCACACCTGATCTGCCCTGGTATGAAACTGAGGTTAATGCTGTACCTTTGTTTATGAGGAGAGTGAGAGAGAGCATGAGTAATTACATGCCAGCTCTGAACCTTTGAACTGGTCAAGTGGCAGATAGAATTCAAACCAGAGATGTGTAAGGGTAGACAACAGAAGGCTGGAAAAACACAGCAAGCAAGTCAGCATCTGGAGGCAAGCAACAGTTAATGTTTCAGTTATAATCCTTCTTCAGGACTCAGTGATGTGTAACGTCATGCATTTAGGAAGGGAAGGTGAGGCAAGGCAAAGCAGTGTCCGGTTAGTGGGAGAGTTTTGAGATGTGGAGCAAATGAGGGGCCCAGCAGTGAATGTGCAGATTCCCGAGGGCAGGTCGGACCAGTGCTAAAGAAAGCAGATGGAATCCTGCTCTTTATTGGGTGATCATTCAAAAATGAGACCAAGGAGTTTACGCTGGATCTTTGGAAATCATTAGTTATTCCATCACCTGAGTCATCACATTACATTACAGACATGATGGAATCATGCTTGAGAGGGGAGGGCAGAGGAAGTTTACAAGAACGTTGCTGGAACTAGAAAAATGCAGCTACAGGAAAGACTAAAGGGGCTGGGCTGTTCTCCTTGGAACAGAGGAATCTGAGGGGAGAGTCAATGGAGATGTGCAAAATTGTGAGGGGCTTGGATGGAAAAGATCTGTTTCCCTTAGCAGAGAGGTCATTGACCAGATGACAGATTTAAAGTAATTGGTAGAATGTTTAGAAGGCAGATGAGGATGTTAGGGATCTGGAGTTTCTAGCAGAGAATAGCAATCGTCTTCCCTTTGAAAGATAGCTGTATATGGGCCTAGAGTGTTATTATCTGGAGGGCCATATGCTGCAAAGTGGGATTAGTTTGGGTGCCTTGTGTTTTGGGCTGGTGCAGGCACAGTAGGTTGTATGGCTTCTTTCTGTGTGGTAAACTCTCTTTAAAGTCTGTGGCACCAGGCAGCATTGCTCCTTCTGCTCAGTTCCTTCTAGTGACTGCTGCTGAGCAAGGTGTTTGGATGTGGATTGAGGACAGAATACAGTTGACGCTGGCCTCTTGGGTGACACACGTGGCTGTGGAACTGAATCCCAGAAACCGTCTGTCCCTTTGCAGAAGGAGAGTAAATGATTCTTTGTAATTGGGAAGTGTGTGCAGTCAAGATCATGACACAGGGAAGGCATTTAAACGCTAGAGGTAGGTATGGTCAAACCACAGGCGTTACAGGTACAAGAAAAGCTGTACGGCCCTTTGAGCTGCTCAGTGAAATCTTTGGAATTGGAGGGCTGTACATGATAATTAAAAAAAAACAAAATCCCGCAGGTGCTGGAAATCTGAAATTAAAAAAACAGAAGGTGCTGGAGACACTTAGCAGGTCTGGTGGTGTTTGTGGAGAGAGAAACCGTTAAGATTTCCAGTCCAGTTTCTTTTTGGGAACTCCGTGGTTACTTAGAACTTACAATTCTGAAGATGAGTCACAGTGGACCTGAAGTGTTGTTTGCTGTTTTTCTCTGATGACATGGGTGAATCTGAAGGTGTGACAGCCACAGAGACCAAACACCGGCTCAAAACTGAGAAACTCTTTGCAAAGACTGAGGTGACCACTGTAATTTCCAGGATTTAGAATCTATACGGGGCAGCTATTATGTGCAGAAGATACGAGCTGGGCAAGTGTTGGAGCTTGGAGGCACAAATTAGTGGCTAGAAACAAGAAGTGAATTTAGTTGGAACTTCTGTTTGTCTAAGCAGTCAGGTGATTGTTAATATTAACCTTGAGGAGTAAATGCTTGGAGAAAGAGGATGTGTCAAGACTAGGACCCAATCGTCGGCCTTCAGTTTGGAGTCCCCTTAATGGTTTACCTCTTTCTTGTTCCTCCGAAGGTCAACCATGTGACTGCACGCCACAAATGAAGTCGGCAAACGATCTGGTTAGGCAGAAGGACCAGAAACTGCTGCATCTCCAGGCTGAGGTGAAGAAATTGCAGAGGCAGCTGAAAGCAGAGGAGGTGGCAGCAGATGGACAGCCTCCACCAACCATTTATGCCATCACGCCAACGTACACCAGGTATGGTGCAGCCCTGAGCAGGTCAGGGGCTCACTCATGAAGTGGACCCTTCTAAATACACTCAGTTTTCCTGGGCCTTGAATTATAGTACAGCAAACTTTGTTTGAACCGGCACTCTCTGTAAACTGGTAAATATGTACCTCAAATACCGCAAAGTTTACTGTATTATTCTGTCCAATCATTGTAGTTTTGTAAATTTATTTATCTGTGTAAATATACTTACAGTAAATATACTGTAAATGCCCACACAAAGTATCAACACCCGAGTCAATTTCAAATCAATTTCTCCTCTAATACCGCGATGTCCAAGTAGTCAGTTGAGGGTGAGAATGAGAAGGCTCTCTGCTGGTAAGTTTTATTTAAGGCTAAGTTGCATTATTATTTCAGTGATTTATGCTTTAAATAAAATGAAAGTGATGTGTATGCTCCCTGCATTATGTCTCTTGTTACTTAATGTGTCCTTTTACATCAGTTATGTAGTTGTCTTGATTTTCCGGAATATTTGATCAACCGACACACACCAGTTCCGCAGGTTCTGGATAATAAAATGTTTGCTGTACAAACAGCCCCCTTGCTGAAACTAGTCACTCTGATCCATTTCCTGCTCTTTTCCCATACTCTCATTAATTTTTTTCCCTTCAAGATTTTATCAAATACCTCCTCAAGTGTCTTCAATCGTTATTTGGAATGTATTCAGTATTCTAAACTGTTAATGATTAAACATCCAATTTCTCTTGTTCTCGCAATTTCTGCTGGTTTTTCTCTCCATTTTACTGATTTTTCAGCGCAGTATCACCACCTCAATTATGTCTCTGATTTAGAACATTGCTATTAATGTCTCTCCCTCAACTCCTCTGTTCACAAGCACTCTGTTTTGATGTGTTCCTGGAATCCATTGAATATTTGAGCACCATGTCCTCCTTTGTTTTCCAAACTAATGGCTTTTAATATTAATACCACTGAACTGTACATTTTGTTGTGTAGCTGCTCGGTCCCTTACATTTTACCTTCGCAGGAGTCAGCATAAGAACATAAGAAACAGGAGCAGGAGTAGGCCATCTGGTCTGAACCGCAAAGGTAAAAAAAACCATAGTTGGGGTTGTGTACAGGCCTCCAAACAGCAGTCAGGAGCTGGGGCGCAAGATGCACCAGGAGATAGAAAAGGTGTGTAAGAAAGGCAAAGTCAGAGTGATCATGGGGGATTTCAATTTGCAGGTAGACTGGGAAAATCATGTCGGTAGTGGATTGCAAGAAAAGGAGTTTGTGGAATGTCTACGAGATGGCTTTTTGGAGCAGCTCGTGGTGGAGCCCACGAGGGCACAGGCAATACTGGATTTAGTGTTAAGCTCCCTCAGCAAGTCTGCCTCACTGCATAAGGTAAAGGAACCCTTAGGAGGCAGTGATCATAAGATGATAGAATTTATTCTGCAATTTGAGACGGAGAAGATAGACTCCGAGGTAACGGTATTACAGCTGAATAAAGGTGACTACAGAGGTATGAGGGAGGAGCTGGGCAGAATTGACTGGAAGAGGAAAGACAGTGGAACAGCAATGGCAGGAGTTTCTGGGATTAATTCAGGAGATGCAGCAAAAATTCATCCCTAGGAAAAAGAAGCATGGTACAGGGAGGTTGAGGCAACCATGGCTGACTAAGGAAGTCAGGGATAGCATAAAAGCAAAAGAGAAAACATATAATGTGGCTATGGGCAGTGGGAAATCAGAGGGCTGGGAAACTTACAAAGACCAACAGAGGGCAACAAAAAAAAAGGAGGGAGAAGATTAAATATGAGGGTAAGCTAGCCAGTAATATAAATGAAGACTGTAAGAGTTTCTTTAGGTATATAAAGGGCAAAAGAGAGGCAAAAGTGGATATTGAATCACTGGAAAATGATGGTGGAGAGATAGTTGTGGGGAACAAGGAAATGGCTGAGGAACTGAATAATTACTTCGCGTCAGTCTTCACGGTGGAAGACACGAGTAATATCCCAAATATTCGAGAGAGTCGGGGGGCAGAGCTGAGTATGATGGCCATCACCAAGGAAAAGATGCTACTAAAACTGATTGGCCTGAAGGTGGACGAATCACCTGGACCAGATGGACTATACCCCAGAGTTCTAAAGGAGATAGCTGAAGAGATAATGGAAGCGTTAGTGGTGATCTTTCAGGAATCGCTAGAGTCAGGGAGGGTCCCAGAGGACTGGAAAATTGCTAACGTGACACCCCTGTTTAAAAAGGGAGTAAGGCAAAAGATGGAAAATTATAGGCCGATTAGCCTAACCTCAGTCGTGGGTAAGATTTTGGAGTCCATTGTAAAGGATGAGATTGCTGAAAATTTTTTGAAGTGTATAGTAGAATAGGACAAAGCATGGTTTCATCAAGGGGAGGTCATGCCTGACAAATCTGCTAGAATTCTTTGAGGAAGTAACAAGGAGGGTAAACCAAGAAGAGCCAAAGGATGTTATCTACCTGGACTTCATAGAATAGAATTGTAGAATCCCTACAGTGTGGAAACAGGCCCTTCGGCCCAAAAAGTCCACACCGACCCTTGGAGCATCCCACCCAGACCCATCCCCCTATAACCACATAATCTACAGACCCCTGAACTCTATGGGCAATTTAGCACGGCCAAACCACCCTAACCTGCACATCTTTGGACTGTGGGAGGAAACCCATACAGACACAGGGAGAATGTGCAAACTCCACACAGACAGTCGCCCGAGGGTGGAATTGAACCCGGGTCCCTGGTGCTGCGAGGCAGCAGTGCTCACTACGGGGCCACCGTGCCGCTCAAGAAGGCCTTTGATAAGGTCCCACACAGGAAGCTGCTGAGTAAAATAAGGGCCCATGGTGTTAGAGGCAAGATGCTAGCATGGATAGAAGATTGGCTGTCTGGCAGAAAACAGCGAGTGGGGATAAAGGGGTCTTTCTCAGGATGGCAGCTGGTGACAAGTGGAGTTCTGCAAGGGTCAGTGCTGGGACCACAACTTTTCACTTCATACATTAATGATCTCGATTAAGGAACTGTGGGCATTCTGGCTACGTTTGCAGACGATACAAAGATAGGTAGAGGGAGAGGTAGTATTGAGGATGCGGGGAGGCTGCAGAAGGATTTGGACAGGTTAGGACAGTGGGCAAAGAAGTGGCAGATGGAGTACAACGTGGGAAAGTGTGAGGTCATGCACTTTGGTAAGAAGAATAAAAGCATGGACTATTTTCTAAATGGGGAGAAAATTTAGAAGTCTGCAGTGCAAAGAGACTTGGGTGTTCTAGCCCAGGATTCTCTCAAGGTAAACTTGTAGGTTGAGGCAGTAGTCCGGAAGGCAAATGCAATGTTGGTATTTATTTTGAGAGGACTTGAATATAAAAGCAGGGATGTACTCCTGAGGCTTTATAAGTCTCTGGTCAGGCCACATTTGGAGTATTGCATGCAGTTTTGGGCCCCATATTTCAGGAAGAATGTACTGGCCATGGAGCGGGTTCAGAGGAGGTTCACGAGAATGGTCCCAGGAATGGAAAGCTTAACATATGAGGTACGTTTGAGGACTCTGGGGCTATACTCATTGGAGTTTAGACGGATGAGGGGGGATCTGATTGAAACTTTCAGAATACTGAATGGCCTGGACAAAGTGGATGTTGGGAAGATGCTTCCATTGGTAGGAGAGTCTAGGACCTGAGGGCACAGCCTTAGAGTAAAGGGAAGACCTTTTAGAACGGAGATAAGGAGAAACTTTTTCAGCCAGAGAGTGGTGAATCTATGGAATTCACTGCCACAGAAGGCTGTGGAGACCAGGTCATTGAGTACATTTAAGACTGAAATAGATCGGTTTTTGATTATCGAGGGTTACGGGGAGAAAGCGGGAGAATGGGGTTGAGGAACTTATCAGCCATGATTGAATGGTGGAGCAGACTCGGTGGGACGAATGGCCTAATTTCTGCTCCTGTGTCTTATGGTAAATAAGATCATGGCTGAGCTTTTCATGGACTCAGCTCCACTTGAGGCAGCAAGGGAAAGAAGTTACCATTTTTCCAGCACTAGTCATCACTTTAGGACCTCCTGGCTAATGTAGTGCTTCTAGTCCCTGGATGGATAGGGCACCTAATCTGTGCATAGCAAGCTCCAGCATAGTGTGATGTGATAATAACCAGTCATCTGTTTTTGTGATGTCGACTGAGGGATAAGTATTGGCCAGACACTGTTAGGAGCTGCCTCTTTTTGCTTTTGAAATAGTGTTGTGGATCTTGAACATGTTGCTGAGATGGCAGATGGAGCTTCCAGATGCCAAATCTCTGACGATCTGTCATTCTCTTGGAACTTCACTGGGGAGATAGTCTTGACTTTGTCGGAAGTCCTGGAATGGAACTTGAACCCAGCATCTTGTATTTCGGGTATTCGGGCTATCACGTCAGCAAGAGCTGACACCAAAGAATGAGATCTTTGGCCCATCGTGCCTGTGCTGGCTCTTTGAAAGATGTCTTCAATTAGTCTCCAGTGCTCCAGCTCCACTTTCCCCCTCCCACAGTCTTGCGAATGCTTTCTTTTCAAATATTTATAAGACTGTAAGTCATAGGAGCAGCAGTAAGCCATTTGGCCTATAAAATCTGCTCAACTGTTCAATGGGAAATCAAATTACAGCTGCCAGCTGTTCAGGACACCTTGGTCCATCCCATTATGCTGGAGACAAAGAGTTCTGTTCTCACATTCAGATGAATCTGTAGCAGCTCCTTAAAGTTTTAGTCATTATGTTTGACCAAATGTAGACGTACTGGTTACTATAATACAATAACACTTCTTGATATCTAAAATAGTGCTTCTTCTGTATTTACTTTATGGTGGTGTATCCCCTAATTACCAGATAGGCCTGAGACAAAGCAAAGACAAAAGAGGATTTGTGACAGTGGGCCTTCACCTGGTACCACACACTGTAGAGGTGCTACAAAACAAAAAGTGCCAGCAGTCGTCATCTGGGAAAATACTTCTGTAACAATTATTTACTGGGCATTCTGAATACAGAATGGGAAGAAACAGACCTTGGTGCAGCACTTGTTTTGCTTCCCATTACTGCATCATTGCTGACACTCCTGATGATGCTTGTGTACTTGATTTGTGCTGTCTGTAACCCATCTGTGGCTCCTTCCTCCCATTAGGCTGGTGCAGAAAGCTGAGCTGGTCCGTCTCTCTCAGACCTTCCTACACGTGAAGAAGTTCCACTGGATTGTGGTGGAAGATGCTGCCAATCGTTCCAAGCTGGTGGCTGACCTCCTGGCACAGAGCGGCTTGTCCTACACCCACCTCAGCTTACCGACACCCACTATCTACAAGCTGAAGGAGAGTGATCCCAACTGGCTGAAGCCTCGGGGCGTGGAGCAGAGGAACCTGGGCATCCAGTGGCTGCGGGAAAACCGGGAGCTCAGCGAGGAGGCTGTGGTCTACTTTGCAGATGATGACAACACCTACAGCTTGAAATTGTTTGATGAGGTAGGTCAGAGCTTTCATTCTGAACACAAACTCACCTTTATATTGTGCTCTAACAGTAAAATGTGCCAAGGTGGTTCATAGGAAGGTTCAGCAAATAATTTTACAGCTAATATAAAAATATACTATCTAATAAATATTAGATTTGATGGAGTGTTAGAGAAGTTTTAGAGTTTGGGGTGCAGGAACCTGCAGACACGGTCAATCAGTGATGGAGTGATTAAAATAGGGAATGAGCAAGGGCTAAAGCAGAGTGCAGAGATCAGTCAGCATGCTCATGCTGGGTTAATCGCATTTGGTGCAAGTTAGAAAATCGACAGCAGCATTTCCGAGGCGTTGATGATTATGCACGGTGAAGTGGTGTCTGGCCAGAAGACCATTGGAAGGCACTGCTGTCAAGTCTCAAAGTATCAAAAGTTGTCACAAACCAGACACATCCTCTGACCCCCAAACTGTTCAATGAGACAGGTCAGAGATTTCATTCTGAGCACAAACTCACCTTTATATCGTGCTCCAAAGAGATGCTTTAATGCCTCAGTAGCAGCTGTCGGAATGCAAGCACTCAGTCCTTCACCAGTCTAACAGTGGTAGTAGTGTACCATCTAAGAAACTGCAGCTGCTTAAGCAGCTCCTTTGAAGCTAGTGACCTGCACCATAGTGTAACCTGTAAGTTCCCTTTCAAGTCTCATCCCATCCTGACTTGTAATTATATTGCTATTCTATCACAGTCACAGGGTCCCTTTCGAACAGCACTTTGGGCGTAGCTGTTTAAGGCGGCAGCTCACCACCACCTCTTCTGGACCAATTAGAGATGGCCCAGTTAGTGATGCTTATGCCCTGTGTTTAATACATTTTGGTTGAAACCATAATAATCCTGGTTCATTGTGATAGTGCTCAGTTACTTATGAATAAATGGAGCTTTGTTTTATTCATTCATGGGATGAGGGTGCCACTGACCAGGCAGCATTTATTGCCCATCCCTAATTGCCCACAGGGCAGTTAAGAGTCAACCTCATTGCTGTGGGTCTGGAGTCACATGTAGGCCAGACCAGGTAAGGGTATCAGTTTCCTTCCCTAAAGGGCATTGGTGAGCCAGAAAGGTTTTTCTGACAATTGGCAATGGATTTATGATCAACATTGGACTCTTAATTCCAGATATTTATTGAATTCAAATTCCACTGTCCGCCGTGGCAGGATTCAAACCCAGGTCCCCAGAACATTACCTGGGTCTCTGGATTAACAGTCCAGCGATAATACCACCAGACTATTGCCTTCCCCCTGTTTATAGTGTAGCCCTTACTGCTATGGGATGGCACTTCTCTATTACACATGATTACTGGTATACTGTTTTTAAGTTAGTAATGGGGATATAGTGTTAGCACAGCTCTCTACTAAAAAGAAAGTTCCTTCTGATTGTAAACCTGTGCCTTGGTTGTTTCCGAGCTCTCTCTTTTCGGTAGCTTTACTTAAAGGTATTTTTAAAAAGTACACAAGGTAATGGAGCATTGTATAATTTAATTTATAGAAAATAGCAGAGAGGTAATGAAACATTTGTTTGAAGTTTTGTTCAGCACCCTTCCATAATGAGATGTAAGCTGGTGGGAAAGCACAGCCAAACATTCAGGGATACTTCAGTTGTATTGGCTGGTGATGTTGAAATGGGCACGTGATGACACTGGATGATAGTTGTCACTTTGATTGCTTATAAGGGACTGTCTAACTCTGGACGGATTAAGTGGTGAGGTCAGTAACATAAACTACTCTTTCTGTTGCCTCGCTCTTCCTGCAGATGCGCTGGACGAAGCATGTTTCGGTTTGGCCAGTGGGACTTGTTGGGGGCTTACGTTTCGAGAGGCCGCTGGTGGAGAACGGGAAGGTGGTTGGGTTTTACACGGCCTGGAAACCAAACCGTCCTTTCCCCATGGACATGGCAGGGTTTGCTGTGGCCTTACAGCTTCTTCTGGCTAACCATGAGGCCAGGTTTGACATAAACGCAGAGCGTGGTTACCTTGAAAGCAGTTTGCTGCAATCGCTGGTCTCCATCGAGGAGCTTGAACCCAAGGCAGACAATTGTAACACAGTAAGTGGAAACAGGGTGTCTTAATGAAGTTAAATGTGTCTACATAAAATTAAAATTCCATTTATGTAGATCTTGCCATATTCCTAACTCTTCAAATTAATTTGTTGGATGGTTTGGCACAGGAGAAGCCATTCAGACCATTGACCCTGCACTGGCTGTTTGACAGAATTCACTCCCATGCTGTTTACCTATCCTTAATTTTCACATTCAGATATTTATCCAGTTCCTCTTTGAATGCTGCTGTTTCTAAAATTTACCTGTGGGATGTGGGTGTCACTGGCTGGTACTGCCCTGAAGTAGGTGCTGGTGAGCTGCTGCCTTGAACCACAGTAGTTCGTACTATTGAATTTAATTTTGCCACCTATTTCTGATTGTAACTCACTGTATTAAAGAAAAAACATTTTCTCAGGTCATCTCTAATGGTTCCTTAATCTGTGTCCCTCTGGTACTTCCCACTGGAAACCATTTCTCCCTCTTTACTCCTATTCAAACCCTTCATGAATTTGAGAATCTGTGTTAAACTTCCCTTAATCACTTTATGGAAGGCCACCCCAGCTCTTCAGTCTCTCTATGTCACCGCTGTCCCTTGTCCCTGCTACCATCCTAGTAAATTGCCTTGTTTACGTACAATATACGCAATTGCTGTTTGTGCAAAGACAAATTCCTAAAATTGTCACAACTCTTGGTGGTTGAACTGAGAGCCCTTGCTCCTCATTAATCACCGAACTTAGCTCGACGTTTCTGCTCCCTATTCCGTCACATCCTTTACATTGGTCCAGAAAGATGTAATGCTTCCCCCGCCCCACCTCCAAAAGGACACTTTCAGTGCACAATAGGCGCAGTATTTTCTGAAGTTGTTGCCTTTAAGGCCTGTATTCACATTGTGACACCACCACCTGAAGGCAGCATGGAGAGAATAAGGTAATTCTCCTGTCAGCCTTGCCTTGAGACTGCCTTGTTAAGAGTGACTGAGATTGGTTTAATGCATGTAATTTGTAACATGTAACTATACTACACTCTGCATATTTTTGATGATGAAATAATTCTGGTTTTATTATAGATCTCTGCAGTTTTGGTTTGCTGCAGTGCATGGAGACTGTTCAAATAGACTCTGTGACCTGCTGAGTGAGTAGACTCTGCTGCAAAACAAACTGCTTGCCACTCGCTGTGGCCAGGCTCCAGTGCATTGCCTGCCACAGTAATGTTGGTATGTGCCTCATTTGTAACATACCGTGGGTGGGTGAATGCTAACGGCTGTTATGTTCTTTTCCCCCCCTGCACCCCTAGGTCCTGGTCTGGCACACACGCGCTGAGAAGCCAAAGTTGAAGCAGGAGGACGTGCTTCAGAAAGAGGGGAAAGGATCGGATGCCCGCATCGAGGTCTGAGCTGGACAAACAGGAGCTGGACAGATAGGAAGGAGAGCCTCGCTTTGCTAACCATCCAGGTGCTGGGTGGTGGGAAGGCATGATGGCCTGCATGATATGTACAGGGAGCTACACTGCATCCTGTTTTAAGCAGTGTAACAGGAGAGAGCATGGGGTTTAGAAGGAGCAGAGATTCTAGCAATTGACATCAGGTACACCAAACACACAGGATCTTCAACACAAGCAGATCTTCATCATTTATCTTTGTGTTCCTTAAAAAAAAAAAAATCCCTGTTTGTCTTAAACTCACTGTAATGGCTGGATGATTTTGCTGTGCCAGCTTGTTGTGTTTCCTCTTGTGAATTGAGTTTGGGGCATATTCATTGCACACATCTGCCCGGTAATTCTGCTGTGAGCTGTCAGCTGGAGTTCGGGTGACCAGCATGTGATTGCAGGAGATCTGAGGTTGGGTTTGAAAACTGTGCCACTGGCAGTAAGTCCGAGGGAGCTTTATTCTGCATCTAATGTGGAGTGGCTAAGTGACGACACTTAAGCGTTTTCCCTCCTCATTCCTATTTTGTGTTCAAAAACATCTTTTTAATGAGTTCTTTCTTTGCCCCAGTTGCAGAGGGACTGGTCTCTTGTTCCTGGACGAGAAAGCTATTGATTTCCAGTGGAGTGTTAGGAGCAGTACGCACCTCAGCTAATGGTACGGTTAAGTAAGAATCCGAAATAGAAAGGATAGCAATTGCTCAGTTAAAATTTTATGATTACTGAAATATTTTGATAAATAAGTCCTGCCTTTAGATGCTGCTGCTGCTCAGGAATATTTCTGTATTTCTTGATTTGTGATCTGGTTATCTCTCTTTCTGTTTTCTCTCTTTCGGTTTTCTCCTTCTCATCCTGACCCCTCAAACACCCCACCCCGACCCTGGGATGTTGGGAATTAATTGGAACTTTGCAGATTGATATCAATAGATTTTACAGAAGCCCTCTCCAGGGATATGGAGTTGATCTGATTAAATGGTGGAGGAAGCTTAAGGGGCAGAATGGCCTCCTCCTGTCCCTGTTTCTCAAGCCTTCAAAGACTTGCTAGACCATCAGGATCAGCTGAATTGAACACCACTGTGCCAACTGGCTCAGCATCCAGCTGCTGCTGATCGGAAGATCCAGAGTTGTCCTGTAATCACTGCCAACTGCCAAATGAAGCCCAAGTCCCCACTCCCAAGGATGTGTTTCTGCTCAGCTGAGCAGCTTGCCCTCTAACCTGGATATGAGGTGAAAGGTGAAGTTCTGTTGAAGTCAGCCTTGTTTTATTCCTCCTGCTAGCTAGGGGTGTTGCTAGCTAGTCCAATACTTATTACCCATTTATAATTGCCCAAAAAATAATTGAGAGTCACCCACATTGCTGTGTATCTAGAGTAGGCCAGACCAGGTAAGGATAGTAGGGCTCTAGTGACCCAGATGGGCAGTCCACAGTGGTCATAACAATTGCTATTAGCATAGCATTTGATTCTGCATTCTTATTGAACTCAAAGTTCACTATCTCCCAAAGTGGTATTCAAACCTGTGTCACAAGAACACTATGCTGCTGCCCCCTGTTAACCCTGCGGCCTGATCACCCCAAGGTGACAGTTGGGAGGTTGAACCTATATTTTACTTTCCTGTTTGCTGTGCCAATTTATACTGTCAGCTTATTCCATCTGATCCCCATATCCTTGCTGTAACATTGTGTCAGAGAGTTTGGTAATGTAGCTCGGTGGAGTAGAGCGAGTTCTGGAATCATGCCTTGGGCTGTCTGTCTCTGTCTAGACATCCACCTGCTTAGCTAGAATGCCCCAGCTCTAAGGAATTCCCAGTCTCAATTGTGAAGTGTAGAATCAAATGGACCCTTCCTGCTGTAGCAACCTCACTATTTGTTCTGATTGAATATTTATGCTTCCATATCCAATCCAGAATCATTGAGATAGCCCCGATTCTGTTTCTGAGAGCTTCCATTTCTGTTACAAGAGACATTCCGAGCCCCGAGATGAGAGTTTGATAGTTACGCTTGGCTGGTGCCATCAGTGTGGTGAAGGAGAAGTTGTTACACTCTGCTGCTTTAGGTTTTTCCAACTGTGGGTGGTTATTGAGAGACCATTGAAATGAAGGGAAGCTGCTGAATATATTTAACACTAATCAGTTTACTAACGTGGGTTATAAACAGACTGCTGATAGTCATTTTTCTAAATGGGATGTGCGGTGGAAGCACTGTGAATTATGAACCACCCCCTCAGCTTTTTTTGTTTATTACCTCTTGAACATTTTGTATTTAGTTGCAATCAGTGTCGTGCTGCGAAGGGCTTCCAGTGAGCGGTTCATAAATCACTAATAAAGGCTTCCTATGGGAATGAGCTACTCAAGTAGTTTCAGATCCATTAGATCATTAGCCCCTTGGCTTGCACCCTCTGATGTTTATTGTTTCAGTAATTTATATCAGACAATATATTCAGTGTGTGTCTGTTAGGACTGGGGTGGGGCAATGGGACTAATTGGATAGCTCTTTCAAAGAGCTGACGCAAGTACAATAGGCTGATTGATCCCCTCTCCCCAGTACTGTAATATTCTGTAATTTTGTGTGTGTGTCTGTGTGTTGTATTGGGCTATGACGTTTACTTGGGCTTTTTGTTGCATCGTCTGTGATCTTTTTTTCACAACATCTGAAAGGAAATGTGGGTTTGCAACAACTGGAGTGCACTCTGTAAGTGTGCAGTATTCTATGTGGAAGGGATGATAAGTACATGCATGTAAATTTGTACAGCAGCTTTCGACACGTCCCCAAGTCTTTCACGGCTAATGAAGTAGTTTTGAAGTCAGCTCACTGATTGATAGAGGAAACGTTGCTGCTAGTTTGCACACAGCAAGCTCCCACAAACATTATGACATTGGTTGAGCCACATCTCATCTGAAAAGCTGCAATACCCTGAATGACAATGCAGCATTTGCTCAGTCCTGGAGCTGGGGAGTGTGGGTCTAGAATCTGTGATCAGGTCTCTGGAGTGGGACTTGAACCCACAGCCCCCAGAGGCTGAGATATTCTCGGAATCATGTCTCCTTCTGTGCACTTTGTACACAATGTTCAGTATCTCAGGCTTGACATAATGGCATGGTTCTTTTGCTGTTTGCATGCAACCCGTCAGGAGAATTAACACAGTGTAGAAGTTTCATAGGGGTTTCATTTTTAATGATTTCCTTAGTTTCATTCAGATCCCTGTTGAGAGCTCATGAAAAATTGAACATCTGACCCTCTGTATTCTCCTTTTACCACCTTGAGGTTCGTCAGAACTGTGCACCACCCCCCTGCCCTGGGTAAGTTCCTGTTGTCAGGAAAATCTCCTGTCAGTCGTTGTAGCCTGGAACTCACCACGCTGCCTGGTGGGGAACTGGAAGCAGATTCAGTAGGAACTTTCAAAATTGGATAAATACTTAAGGGAATAAGATTGCCGGGGATGATGGGGAAAGGGCCCCCTTCGACACTGATTCTCTTTCTGAAAGTGGATGTTAGAGCCCTATGCAACATGTGCTAAGTATGTGTTAATATGCTGCATCCTGATCCCAGTCTGTGATCAATGCCTTTACCACACTCCTCCTGTTTTCATGTAAACAGCTGCCCTTGAGGTTGCTTATCTTCCCAGCTCCCCACTGCTGCTGCTTCCTCCAGCTATCGAGAGTAGCCTGGCCTCCAGTCTTCTTGGGAGGTATTCACTGAATCAGCAGACAGTGTTGAGCTGTTTATCAGCTGTGCCCATGTCTTGTAGGAGTGAGGTGTGAAGCTCCGAGCTCCATCACAGAAACTAAAACACAGAGCCTGCAAAGCTCTGAACTGAGAAAGAGGAAGTCAGGTTTGTGCTTGATAAAACAGTTCTGTTAAACGGGATGTGTTAACAGCATCACCAGCCAATAGGTGTCACTATGTAGGTTAGTAAATGTTCTAAATGCTGCTGACTTTTAAAGATTTCCATTTATGTAGCACCTTGCATGTTCTCAGAATGCCGCAGTGAATTACTTCTGCAGGTTGGCTGTCCCTGTTCTGTCAGCAAACATTGTACAGTGGGATCTCGCAAGCAGAACTCAGATGGCTTTGCAAGTTATTCTTGATACTGTTCAATAAATGGCGGCCAGGATACTACACGTAACATCCTTGCTCTTTTTCTTCCCAAAGTAACGCCATAAGGTCATTCCCATCGACTCAAGTGGGCACCTGGGGCCTGTTTTAGATGCTGAAGCCTCTGGAGTGGAACCTGAATCTACAGCCTGACTCGAGCACACAACTCCAGGGGTGTGATTGTATGGTGGTAATGTTATTGGGTTAGTCATTCAGAGAACTGGATTAAGGAGATCAAACTCCAACACAGTAGTTGAACAATTTTAATTAAGTAAATTGGCAGTAAAAAGCTATTATCAATAATAGTGACCATGAAACAGTCAGATTGTTGTAAAAACTGACTGATTTGCTAATATCCTGCAGGCAGGTTGTCTGCAGTCCTTACCTGGTGTAGCGAACTTGTGATTGCAGACCCACAGCAATGTGGTTCCCTCAATTATGTGTCAGTGTTGGCTCATCTGTCATCTGAGGCAGTTGTCTATGGATTCAAGTCCTACCCCAGGGCTTCAGCCTAAGATTTAAGCTTGATATTCTAGTGCAGTAGTTGGGGGAGTGCTGCACGTTCAGAGCTGCATTTTGGATAAGCTTTCAAACTAAGGCTCCATGAGCATCTTCAGGTGGGCCTAAAGGATCCCAGGGCACACTTCTGAAGAGAAACTGGAGAGTTCTTCTCTGTGCCCTAACCAGTGTTTATCCTTCAGTCGGCACCAACAGGTTATCTGATCGTTCTCACGTTGCTATGTGTCGGAGCTCATCAATTGGACTTTTTGACTTGGTCGTAAAGGATTCATATCTTTTTGCCCTCTTTCCCTGAACACTGGCTGCTGCAGACAAGGTCATGTGTCTTGCTACTCAAGCTCCCTAATGATACGGTTCTGTCACATGCTATAAAGAATGTCTTTGAGAGCGTTGCTGCATCTCTTCTGTTACCTGTGTTCACCCTCCCACAATCCTTTGTAGTGGGTCTGACATATAAACCTATTACAGACTGCATTCACAGGCATGAGAATCCCAATACAGTGGTTTTATTGGTGAGCGATTGTCATTTTGACAGAGCGCAGTTATCTTGGCACCTGTGCATGTGTTTTCATGACGGCATGTGTGAAAATAAACTTTCAAAAATTGAAACGCACAATGTGTGTGGGGCTCTATGTTTCCTCTGTAAATGTGTTGAGTTTTCTGTTGTATCACCAAATGAGGAACACCTAAGCAGTGGGTCACACTGCTGGGTTAATAATCTGGTGCCCCTTTTCTGGCACTTGGGAAGGTTACCCCAGAGAATGGTGCCATCTGTGGGAAAAGAAATGGCTCGGACATGAATCCACCACCTACAGGAGCACGCGTTATTGCAACTTCACCTTCTAGGAGTACTGCATCCTGGACACTGGGGAAGTAGGAGGCTTGATGAAGGTCTGTGGATCTTCACAACAAGAAGCATTTTGCAACCATTAGACATGCAGCTGGCTTCACCTGTACAGACTCTGGGAGCTAATTGATTCTTAACGTCTGTGCACAGCCTCATGAAAGAAATGTGTTGAGGTTTACTGAGAACAACGTCACCTGCACAGAATTTACAGCATGAATATTGTGTCCAGCAGTAGCGTAATGCTGCCATTTGCACTTGAGGCGAATGGGATCAGTGGTTATGGGGAGAAAGCAGGATTAGGTTGTGTTGAGTTGGACGATCAGCCATGATCATGAAGAATGGCGGAGGAGGCTCGAATGGCCATCTCCTGCTCCTATCTTCTATGTTTCTATTAAATGCTCCACATCAGTCTCCTCTCACCCATGTTCAACTCTTCCTATTTCCATATGCTTCTGTTCCTCTGACCCACTGTTTATCTAGCCTCTCCTTAACTGCATCTGCTCATCTCAATTCCCCAATGAGGTGGGATATAAATATTTTGTTAACGTTTCGGGTCTGGTGAGCCTTCCTCAGAACCGGACCCAAAACATTAACTCTGATTTTTACCTTCACACATGCTGCCAGACCTGCTGAGCTTTTCCAGCAACTTTGTTTTCGTTCCTGATTTACAGCATCCGCAGTTCTTTCGGTATTTATAAATATTTTGTGGTGTGTGCTTTTCTGCCTTTGAACAAGCCTCATTTCTCCCACTCCCATTCCAGCTCCTTTCCACTGGGAGCTCCTCCCTGCAACAATATGCAGGGTTTAAACCTCTTAGTGTGAACCTGATTCCCAGCTTTCCTCTCTAATTTTAATTGACCTCAGGGTATCAGGCTCATCTCTGAACCCAGGCTGCATCAATTTTGGGCGTGGGTATGTGACAGTTGTAAACAGTTAACTGACCTTAGTAATTTGATACTTGCACAAGACGTGCAGCAATGTTAATCCTGGGCTGTGCACCTCTCAAGGAGTGGGCTTCAAATGAATGTTCTCCACAGGGTTTTCTACATGTTGAAAATTCTCAATGCCTTGAGTCAACTTCCTTGAGCCCAGAGTGTTCATGATTTGATATAAGCTTTTTATTGTAGTAGTTGAAGGCATGATGCATTTCACAGCTCCTGTATTAATGGGTTTCCTGATTCTCACTTCAATTTCTCACCGAGGATCTTATGGAGTGGTGTCACCATCTTAGGCAGACTTTCAAGACCAAGGATAACTTCAACAATGTCACCCGATTTGGTGATCCCCTTCATGCACTATCTTAGTTGATGTGCCTGCATGCAGTCAGGCTCAACTGCTTGTTACCTCTTCCAGACTAACCTCAGGACTTGCCCACCCAATGTGATGTTGGAGGTTTGTGTCAACATTGGGTAGATCCTGTGTGTCTTTCCCCATCTATTGAACGCTGACTCTTTGACCCACACTTTCTTAACCTACTGGTTTATGTTGAGACAGTAGGAACTGCAGATGCTGGAGAATCTGAGATAACAAGGTGTAGA